CGTAGCGGTTCGTCCGAGGCCCTGGCCGGCTCCGGAACCGGGGGTCGGAAGCCCACGGGGATCCTTAGCATGTGACGGGCTGGGCTGAAAAGGTATTCTGCTCCGGTCCGTGCTCTCGCGGAACACTGTGCCGGGAGCGTGTGCGTGCGCTGGGCCAGTTCGGGGACTGTCACTGCTGAGAACTGGGCTTTTCTTCGGATCGGAGGTGGCGACTCTTATACGTTTTGGGCTCGCTGTTTTTGTCTGGCGATATAATTTGCCAGCCAGCGTGCACTTGGGCACAGCCATCCCTTAACCACGAAGGAAGGTTGTGCCTGGTGTTCTGGGTGACGCTTTTGCAGCCTTCCCCACTTTCCCTCCGGCGTGGGATCTGACTTGGGGCTCGGAGCCGGATACCCTCTGCTTGCACCGCACTGGCTTAGGCGGTTCTCAGCGAGGAGCGGTGGTCAGTGCGGGAGGGCCGGGGCGCTGTTCCTGAACAGCCCTGAGACGCTCCAGGACTAAGCCCAGCAGGCTGTGAGTGTGTTTCTCTGCTTGTGCAAGGAGGTGGACAGCGTAGAAGTGCAGGGGATCTAGTTGTGCAAACGAGGGGACTGCAAGATGTTAAGTTCTAAGAGCTAGGCGAGGGAAATGCGTTAACACAGGAACGTTCTGCTTTATTCCTTCAGCTGGTGTGTTTTGGCTCACAGCGATAGTGGATAATAGACTTTTTTTTCCCCCTTTTCTTTTCTGATTTGGGTCGAATCTGTAGACACTGGAAGGAATTTGTGTGAGAAGTTCCTAGTTTGCTGTTGACTGCGAATGGAAACGTTTATGTTGGGTGGTTTGTTTTATGAAGAGTTACGTTATAAATGAGAAATAATTTACTGTGCGTATGGAAACACAAATGCTTGTTTTTAATCAGGATATTAGTGTACTTATTTTACTACAAGAAGCACATTGATTCAGACTTGGCACTGCTTTTGAAAATCAAGGTCTGTCATGTAAATACGGATTTTTAAATTAGAGGAAATTTAGATCACTGAAATGGCCAGGATTTCCCCACACCGCTTGAAAGGCCTAAACTTTATCTGTGCATAAAAGTTATCTTGTTATATGAGTGAGCCGTTATTTAAGCTTTTTAAAAAAAATCCTGTCATGATTTCAGATGTGAATACTCTGTTATAAACATTCACAGAGCTGTCCACTGAGTTTTGTATCATTGCGTGACTATAAAACACCAAGAACTATTGTATTTCTCACGCATTCATTTTTGTATCTCAGAAATGAATAATGGGCCAACTTTAAAATCTCAATTTCTGCCAAAAAAAAAAATCTCTCATATTTTGAGATTCCATTTTAGTTTGGAATTTCCTACGTTTTATTTGAAAATGCCCTGAGTAAGTTTTTTTTCTTCATTAATTTTATGCTTGTAACAGCACCAAAACCATTCTTAATTTTTCTGTAAGTAGACATTTTCCTTTATGGAAACCACCAGTGAAGTGATAATGAGCAATTTTTAGAGAGTTATTTCAGTGCTCAAACTCAGTATTCCTTATGATGGCATCACCATTTTAATTACTTGGTCGATTCACAAGTCATCACTTCTTTTTGATTCTGCTTCTTAAAAGTTGGGGAGAATGTCTAAGTCTTATGGCATGGGGACTCTTGCTTCCATTCTTCTCTGATGTGGCCCCCTGCCTCTCCCGGAATTGGGCTCTGGCCAGGACCCCAGCATCACTGTAATCCACTGATGAAGGAGGTCATTACCAGGTGCTTTAGGCAATGTGTGATTGGACAGGATTCACCCTCCCCTCCAAAAAAATAAACCTGTTTCCTGTCATTTATTTTCTGTTTTTTTTTTTTTTTTCATCTTTGATTTCCTTTTAGGATTTCAGATGCATGCCAGGTTTCCACTGATTGCCAGAATTCGAGATCACTACACATGGATCCCCAAAACCAACATGGCAGTGGCAGTTCGTTAGTGGTGATCCAGCAGCCGTCCGTGGAGAGCCGGCAGAGACCAGACTATGAGAGAGAGCTTCAGCCTGCTGCTATTTTGTCCTTAGACCAGATCAAGGCCATCAGAGGCAGCAATGAGTACACTGAAGGGCCTTCCGTGGTGAAGAGACCTGCCCCTCGGACAGCGCCAAGGCAAGACAAGCATGAAAGGACTCATGAAATCATACCAATCAATGTGAATAACAACTACGAGCATAGACCTACAAGCCACCTGGGACATGCGGGACTCCCCAGTAATGCCAGGGGCCCCATTTTGAGCAGATCAACCAGCACTGGAAGTGCAGCCAGCTCTGGGAGCAACAGCAGTGCCTCTTCAGAGCAAGGACTGTTAGGAAGGTCCCCACCCACCAGACCAGTCCCTGGGCACAGGTCCGAAAGGGCCATCCGGACCCAGCCCAAGCAACTGATTGTGGATGACTTGAAGGGTTCCTTGAAACAGGACCTGACACAGCACAAGTTCATCTGTGAACGGTGTGGGAAGTGCAAGTGTGGAGAATGCACAGCTCCCAGGACCCTGCCATCCTGCTTGGCCTGTAACCGGCAGTGCCTCTGCTCTGCGGAGAGCATGGTGGAATACGGAACGTGCATGTGCTTGGTCAAGGGCATCTTCTATCACTGCTCTAATGACGACGAAGGAGATTCTTACTCGGATAATCCTTGCTCCTGTTCACAGTCACACTGCTGCTCTAGATACCTGTGTATGGGAGCCATGTCTCTGTTCTTGCCTTGCCTGCTCTGTTATCCTCCTGCCAAGGGATGCCTGAAGCTGTGCAGGGGGTGTTATGACTGGATCCATCGGCCAGGGTGCAGATGTAAGAACTCCAACACTGTCTATTGTAAGCTGGAGAGCTGCCCCTCCCGGGGTCAGGGTAAACCATCATGATTTTTGGAGGTGGGTTGCACCTCCTGATCTTCTAGCTTTCAAGTTGTGGCTGTTAAAAAAAGATCTATTCGATACTGGTTTTCTTTCCTTTAGAATTTCCCCCCCGTTGTTGTCCACCTTCTCTATCCCTGTTGCCAAGGTTGACTCATGGATTGTACTCTTCTCTCACGGATGGTCTTCAGTAGGAGTGGACTGTGAAACTGCACCTGGCTCCCACTAACGGCCAGAGCCTCTGCCATCCGCTTGAGAGGGTAGTGACAGCCAGAGGGCGTTTGTGTAGCCTTGTTCAGCAAGCAGCGTCCCTAGGTTGTCCACCTGAGCAGGCGCACACGTTCAGGCGCCAGTGATATAGCGTGGTTTTTGACTGGGTATTGTGGGAGCAGGGAATTGCTTAAATAAGCTATATATTCAGTCTGTCTCCAGTTAGGCCTCTCTTCCTAGCCTCGGACCCTTACATAGCATGGAGGATTTATTTTTGTTATAACATAAAATGTTTCTTTTAACCACTACCCTCTCCTTGGCCCTGGAAATTCTGTCCCCTCGGTTCTGACATTATTCTTATTCTGAAGATGCCAAGTGGGTTTTTTTTTTTTTTTTTTGGTTCGTTGTTTTTGTTTTGTTCTGTTTTGTTTCCCCTTTCTGTATAATTTTATTCACTTTACAATGTAAATCTTCACATTGGAGATATATTGGTCGTATCTTGCTTATCTTTATTCTAGTTTTCATGTGTGTGGAGGACTCAGCTACCTTCCTTCCACACCCCACGCTTGCCACCAAATGTTTGTTGTCACCGAGGGCACTTGGGTAACTGAAGTTGGTATTTAGGGCTGATCCGTCTGTAGGTGTCACAGAACTATGCTGCCTAAAGTGATCTTGGCTCCGTAAAGGTCCTTTTGGCCCTGGTTAGTTAACAGCCGAGTAATTCTAATCTTTTCTCTGTTTCCATTGCCTTAACCACAAATTGTGGTGCTTTTTGTATATTTTATGTATAAATCACAAAGTTGAATTCTGACTATTTTTAAAAGTCTGTTAAACTTTTTTATTGTAAAGAATATTTATTATGCGAATCTATTATTTTATGATATTTATTGCAAGACTGTTGAAATGTACTCATGTCTGAATATAACAAAATATCAATACTTAACGGAAAATAAGGTGACACGAAGAAAGTACATATGTTAACTATAATGCAGAAAATATATTAATTCCTGAAACTGTCTCTTGATTTCTTCATTTATTAGCCTATACTATTATGGTGAATTTTGTTACTCACTTTCACTCTTGCTTCATACACACCCACTTCTTTCTCTTGAGAGACTGAATCTAAACACAGGCAAGCTCAATTTATGAACTAGATATTTCCTGGAAAGTATGTTCATTGAAATTTTGTTATCCAAATTGTTTCAACAAATGCCCAGGTGAATTGCTTTATGCAGTGAAAATCGTGTATTAATACCAACAGTTCTACTTCGACCACTCTGTAAGCATGCAGGGTTGTGTCTATCATTGTTTGTTGAAATGATGGGGCCTATGTTTAATTTTTTTAAGATGTTTATCTTAACTCTTCTTGGGTTAATAGGAAATTAAGTCAGTAAGACTGAAAGGCATTCTGCAAACGTGGTGAGAGTCTCTGGTACTGTCATTTTAATACAAGCTCATGGAAGTTGGAATAGTTGGCATTATCAGACAGATTTTTAAAACATCCCTTTTGTTTTTTTTACCTTTTCATTTCCTTTAGTAAGTCGTTAATGTGACCTGGTCAAATTATACTTCTTCATATCCTGTGATTAAGAAATATGAGGGCATAAAATTTCATAGAGGAAAAGTAAATATTTTCAAATATAATGTTTTAGTCTGGCAAAATCACTACCTAATTAGAATCTTTGGGGCTGATAAACTAGTGGATCATGTGAGTTCTCAGACAAAAGAATCCTGGATAAAATTTTGTGCATGTGAATCCTCAGGCTTGTTCCCTATGACTAGCAATGACGTCAATAAGTATTTGCATTTGACAATAATTATTTGCATTTGAGAACAAGATGTTGATATAATTAGATTATGAGTTATCAAACTCTTATTCCAGCTTTTCGTTTTGGTTGTCACACACACATGGCTTGGATGTTCACTCAGGAGTATTTGTTCTTCCTAAATGGGCTTTGACTGTTTTGTGTAGACAAGGTGTAATTGGTAGAAACCTGTTTAATTCTTTCCCCAGGAACCACTAAACCTATTGGCAACCTGACATTTGATTGTCTCTATTCTCTGAAAGCAGGAGGATTAAAAAAAAAAAAAAAAAGATTATTTGTGTTTTGGAGGCTATTTCATAATCTGTAGTATTTAAAATGTGAACATTGGTGTTTTCCTCTCATACTTAAGTTAGATAATGCTAACACCGGCCCTCTAATATTTAGAAGATGTCATTGAAATGTGGCCCCTTCATGAAGCATATAAACATAAACTTTCTCAAAATACTGTGTAGGTTTTTTTTTTTTTTCTGTTTTTACAGATCATTGGTATAATTAGGAATTGGTGTAAGACCTGTCAGTAGCTGTAATAACCAGACTAAGAAGCAGTAGCTTTTGAAAGACATTTATAGCTTTTATGGAATGAGGTATGCTGTGGAGTTTTAACTTTGTGCCATATGCAGAATTCATTAAAAGTGTAATAGTAAAGTGGTCTGCTACTCCGAGGGCTCCTATGTCCTCTGGCATAATGTCAGGTCTGTTTTTGGAGGTAGCAATAGGTGAGAGGTTCTCATTTCTCACAGAAGCCCATCAGTGTGGAAAAACACAAACACTTGGATTCAGAATACCCTCCTTTGTAATATATTTCACCCAGGGAGAAATATATCAGGGTGTGTCCCGTTAGAACTTGGGACTAGAGGTTTGAACTTAATTTAAAAGCTGTCATTTCAAAGTGCTGTGACTTTGAAAGAGTCCCCCCAAATTTCTTACAATGGCACCTGCCATTTATTTAATTCTGCTGAATGAAACAATAGCATCCCAAATAGATGGACTAACCTTTTGTTCCCATTTGTTGAGTCCTTGTCCCCAACTGGTACAGCTCAACAGATGTCTTTGTTAAATGCTTCCTTTCTGGGATATTTTCTGATGGCCAATTTTTCCATTTCAGTGAATTCTGATTTAGATCATTATGAATAAAACCAATAGAGGGTTTCTATAATTGAGTAGTTTCTGGTTACCAGAGTTTATAAAATATATCCTAGAGAAAAATGGCCCATGAAAATTAGATGTAGATGTTTCCTTTTGTGAAGATCTAAGATAAATCTTTAGATATAGTGTGTTATAATTATTACATGTTTTTCACAACCTAAATATAGAACATTCAAGTTTTACTGACAAATGGAAATAAAAACCAGTGGTCTTCAAAAGGAAATGAGTTAAATATTGAGCAAGGTTTTCTCCTAAAATTGTTAATGGAACTAAAACACAAGTACTTTTGAAACATTGAAATGTTAAAACAGAAAAAAAGAGTGTCTAGGCAGTTCATTTCAGGTCTCCCTCTGTCCACCATACTTTTTAATTGCAAGAGAGTTTGGCGGTCAGAAATATCTTGAAAACAAAACTTTCAAATCTCCTTTGGCCAATGGATAGTTGTAGAGATGTTTATGTTTCAGTATTTCACTGATTAAATAGAGTAGCCCTGTACTTATCTGACAGTTACTGCTTAGTCTACTATTCTTTCAAACTATCACCAAACCATATTGCTATATTTATTAAACACCGACCCTGTACATTGGTCTATATGCAGGATTCTAGAGCATTAGAGAAATTGATCCAGTGTGTATTTTAATGATTCTCAACCATGTATGCAAATAAATAGGTCACTAGTTAACACATTAAAACTTAAGTCTCTGTTATACCTCAGATTTACTGTATCCAAAGAATCTCCAAGGGAGAGGACTGGTATTCTACATTTTCATCAAGCTTGGGCGATTTTTATTGGGCAGTTTCCAAACTGATTTATTTCACTTGTCTTCATTTTGAAAGTGTAGAAACAAAGGCATGACTTGATAAGATAAACTTCATAACTGAGGTATAGTCAGAACTCTTCCTCAGATACAGGATTGTCTTAATTTCTTTGCAGCCAGCTCAGCAACTCTGTGCTGCATACTAGCCTTAACCATTTCAAGTCTTTCCTTTATAATTAATATATTTGGCCATACTTTAGGATATGTTTATTCATACATTATTTGCAATTAACTATCAGGAATGAGCAGCAAATGACTTTATTGCCATGATATTTTTCATTGTTAATATTAAAACCTACAACTTCTTTTGAAAGCTGAACATAGATGTTTCCTCTGGCCAGGTTTATATGGTAATTACAGAAAAAAAATGGATTTAATCCATTCGTGAAAGATAATACCAAGTGGGCACTAGATTTAAGAACTTGCCTGATGGTGTGGGCCATTTTGGGGGGGCTGTATCGGATGATGATTACAAAGCTGCTTCAAATGTTCTATTTTGCATGATCAATATTAATGTTCTTTATCAGATTGAATCATACTAGATAATAATTCTAATGGCAAAAGCCATCAGAACTGTTTGGGGTATTTAGGTAAAGTATGTTGGGTACCTCACTTCAAAAATAATCCACAAGCTTGTTTTGGTAATATCATCATAGAATCATAATTTTCACATAGGAAGAAACGTAGTGGTCCAGTCTCTATTTTAGAAGTGAGAAACCCAGGTTCAGCAAGGTTACTTGTCTAAAGATGTGTTCTAGTTGCCAAAATAAAATACATTTCATGAAAGAACTTGTTGCATATGGCATGTGGAACTAACTAGAAGGGAGGAGAGATTGATTGGAGGGAGTAGGGGGTTGAATGAAAGTTTGGGGTTGTTTTAAAACGGTGTAGTTAAATTGTTAGAGCACAGTGGCTTCATGAAAGCCCATGGCAGAGAAATGAGTAGCTTGAGGGGGGAGTCAGACACAACTAAGTGTACTTGATGTGAGAAGACAAGGCGTGTGAGAGAGAAAACTCGGTGCCAGTTTGGCCAGCAGTGGTTCTCAGCCTGAGTGGTGTGAGATTCCCTGCGAAATGAGCACCACAGGGAGCTCTAACCTGTCTCTAGGGCCAGCCTCTGGTGTGGTGGTTAGGGTGGCTGGATCCCACATGGCCAGCTATTCAGTTTGACTCCCAGATGAGTAGCTTCAAAGACACTGGTGTGTGTATTTGTGTGTCCCAGATCCAAAAGAGGAAATGGAGACAGGATTGCGGTGAGACCATCCCCCATGGAAGTGCTTTGTCACTTTCTGTCTCTCTTTGTCTCTCTCTCTCCTTCTCTACCTCCCCCAGCCACCACACATGCCCTCTAGCAAATTTAAACAAACAAACAAATAAAACCTGTGTCTAGACTCCACCCAGGCCAGTTAAATGAGCATCTCTGAGAGGGGGCCTTGGCTTATATTTGTTTTAAAGATGCCCAGGTGATTCTAAAGCCCAGCTGGTCAAGAGCCTCGGACTTAGATTACAGGTGCGTGGAGGGGAATTGTGGGAGCAGGCAATGGCGGAGATTAAGGTAAGGAGGCCACTCTAGAGGAAGAAAGCCGGCAGTCTTGAACTCATTTATAGACTAGTAGGAATGAAAAGGAGGACTGAGTGTGAGCAGTGGTGCAGATGGGAGAACTATAGGAATTTACAGTTATTTGTGGGTTTGAAGTGGAGGAACGAATTGAAAAGAATGGGTTTTGGATCTAGGTAAAGGGGGAGAATTTTGGTTCTATTAAAAGACATGGGTCGAGGACATTTTGGATATGGGGGATGGGAAAATCTATGAGTTTGACTGGAGTAAAACAGTACAGGTTGA